ACAAGCATATATTCTGATGTTGAAGAATCTTGGGTAATTCCATACAAGTCCCAGCAACAATATAATGAATCTTGGCAGCGTATTTCTATCATTGAAAGCTGATTTATATCTTTCAATTTCTTTAAAACAACCACACGGGGACCTGATCGAATGTAATAGTGTTCATTATTAGAACTTTGTGTTCTTCTGGCTCCTTGGTTCCATTCGGCACCAAATTCATCTCTTTTAATATATTTTATTTTGGTGAAAGAATCATATGGAATCCATTCAGGATGCCGATTATAAGGTAATGACAGCTGCGCCTTTTTAATAAATTCATCAATTAATAAATTTCCACTTGACCAATTAGAAAATTCACTTTTTAACATTTTACGGAGACAAATGTCGCATGGAGACGTGGAATCTACAAGTAAATATTCTGATGTTGAAATATTTTGGGTAATTCCGTATAAACAACAATAAAGCGGCATTTCTGTAGATAAAGATTGTTTCATAAATTTCTTTAGAATAATTTTGCAGGGACCTGATCGAGTGTGGTGACGCCTATTGCCATAACTTTGCATTCTTTTGGCTCCTTGGCTCCATTTTGCAGAAATTACTACACCAAATTCACCTTTAATATATTGTATTTCAGTGAAAGAATCACATGGAATCCATTCAGGATACCGATTATAAGGTAATGATAGCTGAGCTTTTCTAATGAGTTCATCAATTAATGAATCTCCACTAGTCCAGTTATCAAATTCTATTTTTAATACTTCATGAAGACAATTGTCACATATTATCGGGTATTTTGCATCACACCTCATATTCTTTTTACATTTCTCACAATCTTCGATTATTTCTAGTTTTTTTTCGCATCGACCTCCGATTCACAACATGTATTTTGCATATATTTACCAGTAATCACATAGATTTTTTTTCACGCTATTTGAGATGTCTGAAATAAAATTAAATGATATGTCCTTCGAGTTTACTGAAACAGAATCAATTGCTAATATGTCTTTTGAAGTCGAATTGAATTGAATACATTAGAAGTAACTGACCATATGTCATTTGTGATAAATGAAAATTCACCAACTGATTCTTTGTGCTCAACTTTCAAAACACCAGTAGAGCATCGCAATGAAACTCCAGACTTAAAACACCATGCAC